GTTTGTAAAGAGCATGGTGGAAGCTTGAAATCATAGCACTCTCAAACCAACACTGCCAACACCGTCGAAATTGAAGTCCTTACATTACTCTTATTTCCGTCAATGGGAAATCCTTTGCTGACGTCATAGTTAGCATCCGGCCAATTGTGGAAGGTTGATCACGGCGATGCTTTCGATCGCTCACGTCGCAAATACTCACAATGCCTGGCAGTTTGACGACGGAGTCATAAAGAGCCCGGTCGCAGATCTGGAGCGAGAGGATCTGGTAGCACAGAGCATTTGTCGGGGAACCTAGTCATCAGCGCACAGCTTTTGCAGCGGCGAGGACCCGAAACATGGTTTTCAAACCCGACGACAAAAGACGCGGTGGCGCGAGGAACGTGAGGAGCACGAGCGGACATTTTATCGCTCGGGAGAAGTGTGTTTCGGCGTCTCGCCACCGTGGGGCGCCCGTCCCCTGGCTCTCTCCTCCGTTGCCTGCCGCTCTACCTTTTCAATTTCGGTGGCCGCGACCCGTGGCGATCAGCCAGGCTTTGTCAATGTAGAGGAGGTTATGGCACTGCTCAGGGCCACATGCTCGCGCTTGTAGCACCGGTTGCGTCTGAACTTAAGCTGAAACCAGTGTTGGACTTGATACAAGTATTTAAGTTAAGTTACCAAATACCTGCTTCATAAAGTATTTAAAATACTACTCAAATTACTTTCACTGTAAAGTATCTTGAGCAGAGTACAAATATTTAGAAATGTAATTCAAATACTTTTGAAGATACTTCCGCATTGCGTAATTTGTATCGACGTCAGGGACAACGACAATTATATAGCTGCCCAAATCTGGGTTACCAGTATGTTTTATTAGCACGTAAATACAAAAAAAAAAAACACATTATCGTAGGGTTATTTTATGCAGTTCAACTATATTGTCACGAATGACAAATGATGAGGCGGCGAATCACTGAAGAAACTAAACGTTTAGAGGGGCGAACTTGTGCCCAAAACAAAACAGAGAAAGGCTAGCGTCGCAGGCGTCGATGTCGGCGAAACAGCAGGATCGAGCGCTGGGGCGAGCACCTTTTGTATCTGCATGGGTTTCTGGAACATTCGGCGTAGAACGTTCGGCGCGTAAAAAAATTCGTAACTCGTTCAGACGACAAGGTCCGCTCCCTGGTATCGAACCCGGAGCCTCTGCGCGCGAGAGCCAAGCGCAGTAACCATTCGGCCACGCGCTCGCTCGGCAACGCGCGTGGCAATATCACTGATACATGTTATAAAATATTTCCGGGACAACATAAAAGAGGTCACTTTAGTGATTGGGGAGGAGATCAAACCATGGCGCCCCAAGCGGTTAACTTTAGAACTACACGAATGGGGACATAAAAAAACAATGACTCTGCGCTCGGCTGACAAAACCGAACGCGGAGTCAGCGTTCGGCTGGAGTTCGTGTTCTCCGGTGAGGGGGAGGAGGGGCTCGTTTGTTACCACTCCGGACAGCATGAACAATGCAGTATGCACGGTGCCCAGCTCAGCACAAAAGCCCAAGAGGGTCAAGCTCGCATCCTCTGACGACTGCTTTCGGGAGAGATACGGCACTTCACGTCACTTCGCTAATCGTTAGCATTTTTACATTACACTGTGCCCCGCGCTCTATTAAAAAAAGATGACATAAACATGCCCACAAGGCCTGTGGGCATGTGCACAGGCCTTTTGCTGGGTAAACAGCGGTGTGTGGGGGCAACAAACGGGTCACAGCGCCTCGCCAATAGTGACATCGCTTAATATCACGTTCTCCGGCGCACCTTAGAGGCATTGTTTAAGTGCAATCCATATACCCTATATGGGGAGTTCACTATAAACGAACTTGGGATACGGATATGAGCGAATGGATAGCAAAGAGAACCCACATAATAGCCACGGCAGTGGTCACACCTTCTTCAAGTAGTTTGCGTTCAGAAAGGCACTCAACGTTGGAGGACGCTTTGCTGGCATTTTGAGAGGTCATCCAGCTCGTAGTTCCTTCTGTTCTTTGCTTATCAATGTTCGCTTACAGACTGTTCGCGAAAGCAATATGTGACGGACTGACGAAAGAAAGAAAAGAAGCATAAGAAAACCTCGAGGTTTTTTTTCATAGTGGGGTTAAATCTACAATAAGCAAAACAAAAATGTCTTCTTTTTGGTGTGTTTGTGTGACCACTTTTATTTCTTTTCTATTTGTTATTTTCGTGACACTCAAGCCTGTATTGTTGTCGTAGGTCGTTTTCCGGTCTGCGTTGCGTTTCAGTGTGGCCATCTTTACTTCCGTAAAACCACCCCTTTGGTTTGACGATATTTCGGGGGACACTCTAGGAAACAAAGGGCACCTTTGGGAAAAAAAGAGGGGAAAACTTTCATTGTACAAACTTTGGGCTGAAATATGAGTCACAATCGGCAAAAAAGCGATGTTTTCACGAGCTCAAAGTCACCGTTGCTTATCGGAGCTAGCAACAGGATTTGGTTGCTCGATAGAATGCTCACGCTAAATTGGCTTGTACCACGCTCACGCCACTTCATAGCGAAAAACTCGGAAAATGGCGGAATGTCAAAAATGTGTTTGAGATAATGAGTGCAAGATACTCAGAAATGTAATTAAAATAGAGTATAAAATACTCTCGATCAAAAGTATTTGGAAGATACCAAGATACTTAAAAAAGTATTTAAATACAGTATCTTCAGTAGAGAAATTTGAGATGGCACATGTCTGGCTGAAAAGAAGTATAGGCAAGATAGATAGATTTTTATTGAAGCATGAAAAGATAAGCCGGGAGTTCGTGCTTACTCAGGCTGACTACTCCGTGGGGAAGGATAGAGGGACGAGATTGTCACGCGTTGACGCTACCAAGCAGCAATGCACGCAACTACAGTACCTTTGACCGTGCATTAACTATTGACGTCACGAGCGTGATACGCATTGAGCTTCTCGCTGGCCGACTGTGAAGCGAGAGGGCAGAGAGCTTGCACTCATGCCATTTTGTTTCAGTGGGGGGGCCCTTCAAGCTGAAACTAGAAGCCCCGCCTTCGGCGCGAGCTTTCTGCCCTTGATAACACTAGTGTAAACGCACAGGCACGCGTCACCAAAGCACTGCGGAAGCCAGCAAGCTCGTGCTGACGGTGGAGCTTTTAGTCTTAGCTGTGCTCTCGCCCGCGTCACACGGTGCCGCCACTGCCCAGTTTGCTCGGCTAAGCAAAACAAGGTACTCGCCTCGAGATTAAAGCCCTTTCATGTTTTAAAAGTAGCGCAAGGTGCGTCGATTCACGAGGCACGTGCACCGTGCAGCCCTTGGGAAGATCAAGGCGGCCCAGCGTGTACAGCGTTAACACACTCAGCTAGATTTCAGACGCTACGAATTTCCCAGAAGTGGCTCGCGGCACGTGCATCGAGAATTTCTGCAACAATGAATGGCGCCACCTTTCCCAGGATAGAGGGGCTTTACTCGAGATTCGATCGACACAGTTTATTTGGTGAAAAGAAGAACTTCGTTTTGTTTTACACTTACTTGGAGCAAAACGAATGCTACGCACGCGGTGCCGAAGCCATGGCAGAGGCCAATGCAGCGCTCGCGGACAGGAATCAACTGCTAAGAGCTCGTGCTTTGTACCCTTGCCCGTGCTTTGTGCTCTTAGTGTGGATGCTTTGGCTCCAGCCGCATTGTGGACAGATGGAATTAACTCATATGGAACCATGGATAAACAAAAGCACGCTTCTACACAATTCACTCTGGGTCCTCGAGGCCAATAGCCCAGAAGAAAATATCACACTAAAAAAGCTTATGCATTACCTACGGCAACTTTTTGGTTCTTATTCTCAGCAGCTACCGAATTTATTGGCGTCGTGGTTGTATTCGAAAGATAATTAAAAGCTGAATCGCTTCGCTAAATTATATTTTTTTGATTTTGAGTTCAATATTGGCTTATAAGGCCTCAAATTCTTACAAAAAAAAAACGTTTTCTTTTAGTTTTTGGTTTTAAGCGTTTCAAAACTTAAATTAAAAGATAAATACAAAATGTATAGTACCGCCTTGCAATGTAAAATTGTTTCGGAATCATTATCTCTTAATAGAATTCCTCGATGCTTTGTCGTTACCAGGTTAATTGAGGAAGCTTGCGTTCCGGTGAAAACGAAAACTCGTCTGCTACGCAGCATTTGTTTGGGCTCTACAAAGTCGCTCCGCCATGCCGTAATCGTGCTGGCTGAGCTCCCCGTTGCAGATGATCAACAGTCCCGTGCAGCACTCTATTACTCCGCCACGAGAAATTCAGTGAGTCCGGTGGCGTGGTTCACTCATATTCAAGAGTCTATGATCTGCATTTTGTAGAGGTGTCGTTTTTCTGCCTCTGATTACGAGCGAGCTCTGGGATATGTATTGCATATCTTACAAACAACTGCAGTGCTAACAAAAGCATGGCCACGATCGTGTAACCTTGGAAAGTTCCCTTTCTGCGTGAAATCTTGTACCAACAAAAGCATTCGACAGATCTAGGCTCAGGTGCCTGTACCCTACCTTGTAAATATTACTATTTTTGTTTGTCACATTATGTGGGGCCGAGGTTGAAGCTACAAGCACGAGCATGTTGCCCAGAACTATTGCGCGACCGAAAGTGTCACTGTGGTCGGCCTTCCACGATTGGCCGAACGCTGACTATGACGTCAGAAAAGGATTTATCATCGACTGAAATAGGAGGAATGAAATAACTTTAATTTCGACGGTGTTGGCAGTGTTCCTTTGAGAGCGCAATGATTTCAAGCTTCCACCATGCTATTTACAAACACCATCGAACTTGTTGTTCGCAAGGTAATGACGTCACAAGGGGGAACCCTAGGATGCGCCACTAAAACATCTCGCCGCTAATAGTGTGTACTAAAGTCGCCGTATCCTGGGGAAGTAGAGCCATTGCCTTCCACGCCTGCTAGCTAGACGCAAAGAGGTGCTAACATACAGACGGCCAAAACCTCGCAAAGTAATTCGCTTATAAAGAAAATTTTATTGACACTGAACACTTTAAGACATGAAACACACCGAGAAACGCGCAGACAATTAAATCATGTACGCTACAAAGATGCAGGGGCGGAAGTAGCAAGCAAACATAACATAGCAAACCAAAGACAGACGCCCATTGGAACTGGCCAACTTCCAGCGGTCTAAACATAGACGCAACACGCTTACTTTTTACTCATATAACGCATCTAAATAAACATTTCATTGTTTTGGGTAGGACTGAATGTCTTGCCCATAAACAAACCGAGCCTCATCAATAATTCAGTGTGCTCTGAAGATGAAACATAACAATCATTATAGGTATATTTAGGCATTCATGCCATTGGCAATCCATCAATAAGTCCCATGTACATGGTTACTCATTTGTCGTCAAGGCGGTGGCGAGCGTCAGCTCCTCTTTAGCCTGGCCAATCAGTCCAGGGTTCGCGAGCAAGTCGAGAGCCGTCAGCGCCATGGCCCGGGCCACCTTCAGAGTTGGTTCTTGGGCGCCGGTGTCGCCCGCACCAGCGGCAAACTCTCGGGTGTGGTTGCGCCCCTTCGCTGGAATCGCGAACACGGGGTGCACGGTAGGCAGTTGCTGAGACACGTTGCCCGTGTCCGTCGAAGCCCCGGTCCTCTTCGCCACTGCCGGATCGGCGTCCTCGAAGACCATGCCTGCGTTGTAATCGTAGATCGAATGACAATATGCCTATTGGTGCGCCGTGAGCGAACGCAGTTGACGAACGCATGACGAAAGCATTTGGAATGACTCAAGTTTGCACAAAGCTACGATTTTGATTTTGTATTTATTTAGAACAGGGATGGGCAAAATACCTGCAAATATGTATCGAAATACAAATACAAAATACTTCGTCAAAAATGTATTTAATTAAAAATTTCCAAAAAAGCATTTGAGTACAAGACACGAATGCAACCGAATGTGTTCGGTTTCTTCCAAATACTTTTCCAAATACATTCCTCAAAATTTGCGTCAGCGACTTCAGGGCCCCTGCAGCGGGTTTCTGGGTATTTCATTTTAATTTTGCATCGCACACTCGGGAGTTAGTGTGCGAGGCTCTAGTAACGTAATAGAAATATAATCACAAAAAAAAAATGAAATCAGCTTGGACGTAATAGGTTAAAGAAGTACAGAGCTTCAAGCAGTTTTTTTTTTTTTTTTTTATTACATTTTGGTATAGATCAACAAAGAACCGAGACGACCAAGACGCGCAGCACTAGTTAGAGAATTTTTTATTGTAGCAACTCGCACCAGTAACGAAAATCTGGACGACCCGAGCATTTAGAATGTTCCAGACAAAAATATGGATGGAAATCAGGCTGGAAAGCATCACAAGTTGTCGCAGGCACTTATTTAGCCAGTCTGCCTGTGAACGTCGATTTCGTCACTATTCTTGCCTTGGACTAGCACCGTTATCACAAAGTCACTAAATGCTTGTGCTTGATTGAGAGACACTACATTAGGTGCAGAAGGTAACTTTCTTCCTGCTCTGGACAGTGACAATAAATTTAAAGGATGTATTTTCGCCCACAAAATTGTATTTAATTACAATTGTATTTGAAATACCCACGTTCTAGTATTTAAATACACTCGTCAAATACATTACCCAATTTGTAATTAAATACAAATGCAAAATACACAAAGTATTTGAAATACGTAATTCAAATACTTGTATTTGAAATACGTAATTGAAATACTTGTATTTGAAACACTGCCCATCCCTGATTGGGACCATGGCAGGCCTAAGAAAGCGCATGAGGTTTATAAAAACAAATTGTATGTGCGCGCGATGCGGGATACCCTTTGATGAAAATCATCAAATGCATGGAGATTTGCTAAAAATACAAGGAGAAAAGCATCTCTTTAGACTCTTTAACAACGACCCTAGCATAGCCCTAGCAACGGTTCGTTTGGAGCAGAGCGCCCTGTTGTGACGTCATCGCTTACGGAGTCCATTCGAACCCCGCGTTGGTCTCCTTTAGGTGGCGCCACCTAACTTCGGCTAGGTAGCGCAAGCCGCCGCCCGATTAAAAGGGTTCAGCCGGATCCACCAATCCGTCCATCAACCCGTTCATCTGTTCGTCCGTCTGCAGTTGCCTAGTTAGTCCCTCCGTCCATCTGTCCGTTCATCCTGACAGGGCGGAGGGGGGCGGGGGCCATGATAGGGGTTTCTCCTTGGGAGGAGGGGAGAAGCAAATATCACTACGGCGGCGGTTGTCCGGCGCAGGGATGCCCTCGACCGTTGTCGACCCACTGGTGTCGCCCTTTCGTGCACCTTCGCGGGGTTGGGCTGGTGTCGGGCTTCTCAAGGTCCTTTCTCCCTGTCAGTCCTTCCTGGGTCGTTCTTTTGGCGAGGCCCAGTTTTTTCTTGGTTCAGTTCCCAATTGGCTTTTTGGTAAAATTTCCACTTGACCCCAGGATCCAAATCCTTTATATCGAATTAGGTTTATATCAGTTGTGCCAACACTGGCGGTACCCGATCGAGGCACCTTATTTTTCAATCTTTTTACAAAGCCTCACCATACAAAATGTCCGCTCATCGTCCATACTCCGTCCCACGGCCTTGCAATCTCGGAGATGTAGGTTTCAGAGGTTGGAAGGTGATAGTGTAGCTACAGTTGGTGATTGTTGAGCACAATGAAAAACGACACTTAAAGGGACACTGACAGGGTATTTATGCTCGCCGAGGTTTTTAGTTGTACGTGACATATGAGAGCTCAAATACCCAGAACAGAATTTGCGGCTCGAAATTCGGTTTCTTTCAGCCCGAAAACCGCCGATCAAGAACTGGCCGGTTCGACTCTCGCTCACTCTCTTTTTCGCGGTCACGGGCCGTTTTCTAAGGTATCGATGCGACCACCAAATTTAATCAAAGTCGTGGGTCACTGAAGGCACACACTCAATAATAAAAATAGAAAAAAATATGGAACCCATTTTTTGTGGCTTCTAAAAAGCTGTAAATACGTTGATTGAAAAAGAAAGTTCCCAGACAACCGGAAGCATTCTGTGCGTTCGTCGTTTCGCGTATCGTGGGACTCGCGGGAACGGAGATGGCAGCGGACGACGGGCGTGGGACCTCTATTTCATAACTGTCGTTCGCGGTACCGGCAAATTCTGTCTACCGTTAAAAGAGAAATTTGGGACTGATCAAAATAATTGGTATTCATCCCGTACGACACGCCCGGCCACCAAGCCGATTTGCACGAAGACGTCGCCGAGCCGTCGCTCCCTTCTCGTGGCTGAAGACATCGCTCGCGCAAACGTCAAGCACGACGTGTCTACTTCGAGTTGAATATGCACACGTACGATTTCTTTACTAGGTGCGAATGTCTCCAAAGCGTGGTGCTTCCCGAATTCGACCCGGGAGTGCTTTTGCTAGAGAAAAATCGACAGCAAACTTTCCAACCTACAGTTTACTGGCTGAATTATTACTAAGGAAAGAGATGCTCCAGTAGCTGAGTGGGAAAGACGTCCGGTTCACACGCGGTTGGACCGAATTCGATCCCCTGTGAAACTTTATTTTTTTTTTCATACATTTTCCGATGTTTACATTTTTTTTTGACAATCATCACTGAACAAACAAACAAAAAATAACAAACAAATGTTGTGGACGATGCTTCGCTGAATTAAATGGTATGGGATTTCCGTTTTGACACCTGCGAACTCAATGTAATCACTTTCCACAAAATGCAAGGAGCATATAAATCAGGTAGCGTCCGCTTTCCGAGGTGCCCGTATATGTTCTACAGGAATTGCAGCCAGCCATTGGTCCCGATCCCGTTGATCTTTCGGAAACTTTGTCGCACAATGCCACTTTTTTTCGGATGCAGGACGTGTGAGCCAGCTCTTCACACAACATCTTGGGTGTATTCTTTTCGGAGCCGCTCATGGAAATTCACCACGGGCACTCACTACTCATCTCCAACTCCTCAATCTACAAAACAACTCATCTTGGAGTACAGAACAGCGAGCGGAACAAACATAACTGCAAAAGAATCGCACGGCGAGCAGTTCCCGCACGCCGCATCGCACGCCGCATGTCGTGTCGTCTGCTACGGAAAGGAGAAAAAGAAAAAAAAAACAAAAAAAAAAACGCACGGTCGGATGTAGCCACGTGACTTCCGCCACTCACTCTCTTCTCTCCACTTCTCCAACCTCTGTCGGGTTTCGGTTTCGGTTTCGAGCAGTTGCGTCTTTTGGCTTTATTAAAAAAATACGCTACTCTGTTGCAAAATATTGATTGGGTAGTCCTCCGACACCATAATAAAGCGCCTGGCAAAAAATAAAAAAATTTTTTTGGGGGGTGTCAGTGTCCCTTTAAATGGCCACGATAAAAAAAAAAAAAGACGGAACGCAGCGCATGTTTGTTCCGTGTTCCTCTTTTTCCTGTCCCTTTGGCCTGTTTTTTTTTTTTTTTTATCGTGTTCTTACGTTGTCGAAATTCCTTTTTTTAATCCTTCCACCGTCTGTTTTCCTCTTGTCCACCGCAGACGCAGGTCTTATCACCGTGTGATGAACTTACAGCAGCTCGCCTGCAGTCGCAGTCTCGTAAACATAATACAAAAGGCACGATACTCCCTGCATACAAGACGAAAGAATTGTCTATGGACAGGCCTGAAGCATCTTCAAAGCATGATTACTCCACACGTATGCGGAGCAGAAGTTCGTCTGCTTCTTTTGCAGGGGTTGGGGTGACGTCAGAACGCCGAGCTATGATTGGCTCCGATTGAAGGATAGTAGGTAGACCTCGAGGGCAGTTTGCTTTGAGGTCTAACCACTATCCTTCAATAAGAGCCAATCAGAGCTCAGCGTTCTGACGTCACCACAACCCCTGCAAAGAAAGCAGACGAGCTTGCGCTCCGCATAGGTATACTTCGAGGCAGGCTTTGTTTAACCTATCTGACAGTATATAACGTCATTCAAGGAAAAAGCACGCCTCAGAGAGTCTCTGCAGACTGTCGTTTGTACGATGTATTAGCAATGTTACCAAAACAGAAGTGTTTTTTTTTTTTTTTTTTAGGCTTAGATAATTTTGTTTAGTAGTGGCCAGCGCTCACCAAGAGCCTCGGCGTGTTTCTGGAAGACGTCGATGATGGTGCCATTGTTAATCATGTGCTTGTACTTGATTCCCTTGGCGATGTCCACCGAGCATCCCGTGGCTTCAGCGGCGCCCCTAAAGCACGCTTCGACCCTGGAGACCAGCAGGTTCAGTTCATCCGTGTTCGGGGCCCGTACCTGGTACCTGAGTTCGCTCTCCTCCGGAATGACATTCGGGTACTTGCCGGCGTTCAGCATCACCCCTGTAAACAGAGCGAGTGCAGTCTGTCTCTCTTCGCATTGAGGAATTAGCTGCACCGCGAAGCATCTGGTAGGGACATCGGTGGGGAAGCCGCCCTGCCTCAGGGCACTCTTGCAATTCACGTTAGGGGGCGCTGCGGCTAAGACACGAGAAAACTCACATTATATATTCTCCGCTTATATACTGCACGAACAGTTCACACTAAAACAAACTGTCAAAATGCTGTTGTTGTTGTTTTGTTTTTTTTTCTTTGCATTTTATTGTGGCACGTTTTGGGAGCAACCGCACAGCAGGGGATGCGGTCCATTGTTGTACGGAACGGCGTGGGCAAGGAAGGAAAGAACGCCATCATTCCACCGTGCATCGGTGGAACTAGAACGGGAACTTGTTACACTTTACGAGGAAACGGCCGTTCCTTTCTCTTGGCTCTTCGATGCTCTGTGTTACCAGATCCTCTCGCTCCGAATCTGCGACCGGGCACTCTATGGTTCAGTCGTCGAACTGCCAAACTTTGTGAGTATGAAGGAGGCTACGTAAACCCCCCTCCCCCCCCCCCCCCCAAAAAAAAAAAAAAAAAAAAAAAATCTCGCTTAGTTTAAAGGCCAGCGACCAGACACAAGATTCTGCAAGGCAGAAGATCCTCCTCACCACGGGGGAGGAGGAAACAGGCAAGGGTGGACGGGTAGAAGGGGGGAGAGGAGGAAGCGAGGGAAAAGTGGAAAGCGCGAACTGGTCGTCGGTCTTTAAAGCAAAACGAAAGCGCGTGCTAGAGCTGCTCGGGTGCCATACCTTGTACTTTCCACTCAGGCTTCATCTGCTGCCTAAGCACGGAGACGTTCATGTAAGAAGTGACGGCTGCGTCCAAGGCATTGAGGCCTTCCCAGGGAGACGCGGCCGCGTGAGCAGTCCGTCCACGGAACCGGATCGTTAGCTGCGAAGACATTCAAACGCAGTTAGGATACGGCACTCGTCTTCGCACTGGTGTTGGTGAAGGGATCGAGCTTGGAACGATCTTACAAGTAGGTATAGTGTGTCTATATATCCGTTATCACCTCAATAACCGTAGTAAACTGAAAGTGAGGCTCCTCATAGAGAATTGCTAATTCCTTTTATGTAGAGAATTAAGTTATATGCAGATTCATTTTAGATAACACAGATGTTATCTTATCAACACGCACACGTTTCAAACGCCAAAAGCATCACCTCTTACTCCGACAACCAAATTTTGTAAGAACTTTTCGGCACGGAGTATGGACAATGCGTTAGATTTCCTTTTTTTTTCTTGCACATGACGTCATTTCCGATGTCCTCCAGAGAAAAGGGGAAGAAGGAGCTCCCCTCTTATCAGAAGCCTCCCGGACTTGCACAGGCGTCGCTATTCTCCTCCCAGAAGATTATAGGAGATTAACCTGCCACTCAAAATTCTTACAAAAGCAGCTTCCCTCTCTTCATTTTACATGGTGCTCAAAAGTATGCGATGTGACGTCAGTGCAAAGAGCCCGTACTTCCCAATGAATGGCCAAACTCTCTCAATATACGACTCTAATGGATGCTAACGGCTTTACCCTTTAGATTGGGCGGCAGCTTGCGCCACCTAACCTAGAAGTGAAAACCAATAGCACAATTTCTTTCCTACTCCAGTTTGCCTACCCTCTGCGATTTTGTAACTATCGCCAGGCAGTGTGGGATATCACCAGGGGTCTAGGAAAACTCGTCACAAGCCCATTCGTCACAGGTCAACTAGCCATAGGTAAACTGGTTCGGTAAGTCAACCTTTAACAGGGCTTCTAGTACAAGGAATTCTTGTTATGCGGGAATACTCGACACACGGAATACTCAAATTAGACTTCATTTTATATACAATGTAACGAGTACTTTTTTCTCTCGCAAAAGAAAACTCATTTCACTTTGGTTTCTTCATAGGAGAAGGGAGGTTTTTGTTAAAGGGAGGCTCGTGATAATCAAAAGCTCGACAAGCATTCGGGTAGGCCTAGGGCCCGTTTTCAGTAGCGGCAACGACGACGATAGCCGAACCATAACATTGTCTGGAACTCAGCGCGTATCCTGTACTTTGTCAACCCCAGCCCCTGGCTATGATCCACATTGACGGCATGTGGTAAAAAAACGAACACGTGTTTAATAGGTCATTAACGTCAGGGATTCGTTCTAACGGTATCTGTGCCAAGTACTAAAATTGTTGCATCACGCTTTTAAAGGGGCAGTGCAACGATATTCGCTTGAAATGTTTTTCACTGTACACGAGTTTACTGACACTAGTGGGACCCAAGTACAATCGCACGTAACGCCACTGACCAAGAAACTCCTTTGTTGCGGTATAATTTCGAGGACAAAAGCGAGCGTTTTTGTTCAATATCTGCTTCGCATAACTCGATGACGTCGCTGGGCGGTCGCCGTACCGCCTCGATATTTAAATTCGACTCAGAGATTGGACTCGAGCATTCCGTCTGCACTCGATTTGGGCTCGTGATAATCGATAGCTCGAGAAGCATTCGGGTAGTGGCCCGTGTCCAACCGCTGCAATGACGACAATAGCGGAACCATAATAACGTCTGGAACTCGGCGCGTGGCTATGATCAACATTGGCGGCATATAATCGGCTTCAGATCATGAAGAAATAAAAGCTGCTCTTTTTTTTTTCTGCGATTTTGATAGCCTGGGGTGAAAAACGAACGGGTGTTTCACAGCTCATTTTTGGAGTTTTCGTAGACCACTTTTCACCCTCCGCTAAGACCTCCGCAACGAAGAAGCCACTACTGAACCTGCGCGGCGATGGCCTTGACTGTAGAGCTCCTGGCATCGTAGCGGGTTGCGGAGAGCGGTACGGGATGGCGGAGACAATCTACGAAGGCCCCTCTTTTAACGTCAGGGATACCGGTAATTGCGGAAAGCACAAAAATCGTCGCATCGCCCCTTTAAAAGGGTACTCCGACGATTTCTTGAGCTAACCCAGCTAACTATATTGGGGAATTGTAGTAGACCGTTTCTGCAGCCCGCTAAGCACCCGGATAGCGCTCCGTAATCCGCCATAAGACCTTGAACTATGCAGATAAGGCTGGCGGCGCGCATGCGCAGCTGCGGCGTTTTCTTCGGGGATACCGTAGCGGAGGAGAAAAACGGTCTACTACAATTCCCTATTTTCGGAATCACCGGTCTTTACCCTTTCCCGGTATGCTATTTAGTAGGAACTCTTAGAAAAACTTTACTATACTACCGTTACTGTACTACCGTTACCGTACTGCCGTTACCGTACTGCGGTTACCGTGGACCTGACTTCGATTTAAGAAGAAGTTGTATGACGGGAAAACCGAACGTGAGTTTAGGTTTCGTAGATTTCTTTTAAACGATAGGAACATTGAGCGTATTGCAAGGTCATTAAGCCGAAGACACACTGCTCATACACCATGCAAAAGACCGCCTGAAAACAGGAGTCACCGTAATATCCGTGGTTCTTATAGACCTTTTGCCGAATTACCCAAGCTAGAGCCACTAAATAAGCTGCGCTAGAGCCACTAAATGAGCTGCGCTTAGAGTATCGGCACTCCGTTGCCCGACATTGTTGTGGGCGCCGCCATTTTGGCTCGTATGCAGAGCAGACATAACTGCCGATCGTCCTGATTCATAAGGGACACTTCCTCAGCATTAGATTCGGTGTTAGGAAGGTCATCTAATATTGCTTTGCTCTGTTGCGAACTGTTTAAACATTTGTGGAGGGCGGAAAAGCATATCCTGTGATTTCAGATAAGGCTTCAGATAACTGACCATGATTTTAAGCCACAATATGGCCAAGTGTCGTTACTCTGAAGCGTAGCTTATTTAGTGGCACTAAGCTGCGCTTAGAGTATCGGCACTCCGTTGCCCGACATTGTTGTGGGCGCCGCCATTTTGGCTCGTATGCAGAACAGACGCAACGGCCGATCGTCATGATTCAAAAGTGCGACTTCCTCAGCATTAGATTCGGCGTTAGGAAGGTCATGTAATATTGCTTTGCTCTGTCGCGAACGGTTTAAACATTTGTGGAGGACGGAAAAGCATATCCTGTGATTTCAGATAAAGCTTCAGGTAACTGACCGTGATTTTAAGCCACAATATGGCCAAGTGTCGTTACTCTGAAGCGTAGCTTATTTAGTGGCACTAACCCAAGCATCAAATAGAATGCCGGAAACGTAGGTACGAGCGCTTCGCGTGCTGGCCTTTTCTTTAGCTCTAACTGTTCAAACGCAAAAATTTGAAACAAAGGACACTTCGCATGCACGTTCCACGGGAGCTTTATTTTGGTCATTTACTTCGAATATTTTCTATAAAAATGGCGAGTACATGCAGCACGTGTACCTAGGGTGCCTTCATGTGCGCTTTGCTTAGGGTGGAGACATCTCGCCATTTTGTCCCACACTTTTATCTTTCTTTTTTGTTCAGAAGCGCGTGAAAGAGCGTGTCCCTGAACGCGTGTGTGGCGCTGACTGTGCTAAGGCGACATTTTGTTTTCGTCGATTTCTTTCTATTTTCCCCGTGAGCGCGTGCTGTCGGCATCGGGTACTATAAAGGGTGGCATCACCCTAAACAGAAGGAGATTGAGGCACCCTACATGTACCTACGTTTCCGACATTCTCTTCGATGCTTGGGTAATTTAGCGAAAGGTCTATTCCGTGTGCTAGGTTCCTCCTTCAACTCGTCGCCATCCTGCATTCGAAGCACGGACGTCGAACTGACTCGGGTTCCAATATGTATGCAGGCTGTCATTTGTATGATGTATAAGCAGAGTGACTCCAAATTTAAAAAATCAGAAAACGCATGAAAAAAGATCAAAATGGTCTTGATGGTTACTATACTCTGTTTCTCCTTATGATGTACCGCAGGAAAGGCTATAAGCGCGAGCGTCTTGCTCTAGGGCACATCTCGGCGGCACAAGCTGTCGTGCATTAAGCGCAACTGCCAAAGTTATGATCTCGCGCGTTTAGCCTTCGCTGCGGTAGTTTGCGGGTCAAGTGTTGTGACTCTGAGGGGTAGCGTAGTCAAAGGCTCTAGTAACCACGATAACGCTTACAAGCTGCATGGCCGTGAAAGACGTTTTAAGGATGTCTTGGCGCGCAGGATGAGCCACGAGTGCCGCGTCCACGTCCTTGAAGGCGTCCTTTTGCAGGAGCATCTCCTTGCCGCCACAGTTCTCCTCGCCAGGGGTCCCTATCACAAGGACCTGCAACAACGTCCAAGCTAATCTGAGATAACAAGGCGTGGAGCTGGGCTAAGTAGTTGCATATATTTCAGTGAACAACAACAAAAAAAAAATAGAGCGAGAGACGAAAGTAGGACGATTACACTCACAGTGTTGTCTGTCTCTACAATTCCACTGGTCTTACGTATTTTGAGCTGTTTTTTTTTTTTCCACTTCAATAATCTGAGTTATTCTGTTTGTCGGCGCAAACACGAGAGCACATTAGACAGTCTGTCTCTTTGGTGCAACCCGAAGGTACTCTGAATGCATAGCATTTAATATCCCCTGTAAGAACACCTCCTAAATAAGAGAGCCAATAAATGCTCAATTTTCCTGCGTCACTAAAAAAGGCCACTGGAGGCCACAGATCGGAGACGACTGGGGCGTTAGCGTTCGGCAGGGCCTCGGGCTCTCACGGATTGGACACGAGTTCGGACCAATCTGTGTTCTACCAATCTGTAGCACACGATGACCTTCTTCAGTGACGTAGCAAAATGCGCTTTATTACCAGGAGGTGTGACCTGGTGGCGTGGTGGTGACCTAACGTCACGCGGTGAGGTGACGTCATGTTCCGTGACATGACGCACAGTGCCCCGTGGCAACATGGTGGCACACGACGCATCAGTGGCCTTGACGCTGATGACGTCACGGTGAACCTTCCAAAGCGCTGATGACGTCGTCATCAGCGTCAGGTCACCACCGAGGCTACATATGCCACGGCCGCGAGAGCACTCGGAGCTTTTAAGTGTTTACGAAAGAATTACGCGTAAAGGAATGAACACGGATGTGCTGCCCGTGTTCTGTCCTTTATGGGTAATTCTTTCGTAAAATGTGTATTCAATGCCATAGCGCTCACACTAAAAAAAAAAAAGTGTAGAGACAATTGTGTGTTGTGTAGTCAACGAGATATTAGTCAGCACCACTGGGTGTCTAATGTCTCCTGTGTAGACGAGAAATTTAGCCGGTGCAGTGCTACTACTAGCCTCTTTCGTGTGCACCACGCAGTAGTGGTGCACACTGTAACGACGAGCAAAAACATACGCGGAGTCAACATTTTGTGCTACGTTGTAGCGTCGTCGAGACTGACGTGGCTTCCAATATGCTACAGATCCGCACTACTGCGAGGGCAGGTCTGGGCAGAGATACTCTAAAAATATATGCCGGAATATAGAAATACTGAGATACGAATAACTTTTAAGGCCAAGATATAGGTACTGAGATGCATAACCTTTAAGGCCAAGATGTAGATACTGAGATACATATATCTTTTAGGTAACGGCATAGGTCTGAGATCGGATGCAATATGTTAGTATTAATGAAAACTCCTCCACGATAAAACCTATTCTTTCTGGCGTACCACAGGGCAATATTTTGGGTCCTTTCCTTTTTAATATATATGGTAATGATATTACCGATATTAATCCAAATGCAAAATTTGTCAACTACGCTGACGACACAAGTATACTCTTTAATTCAAATAATGCTGATGCCTTAATTGATATGGCAAACCTGACTCTTTCTAGATTAGAAATATGGAGTGAGAACAACGCGTTGCAAATAAATGTGAAGAAAACAAAAGCCGTGCTTTTTCGCCCGAAAAATAAACTTGTAAATATTACAAAAGTCCTAAATTTAAATTCTAGCAACATTGAAATGGTAAACTCCTTTAAAGGGATACTGAACCGAAATTTGAATTTCGCAAAATAAGGTTCTAGAAGCGTTGAACGGGACTCTACGAACTCCGAAACATTGCTCGTACATCGATATCTCAAACGGATGGCTGCACTTTTCGAAAAGAAGGGCGCGATCAAGCGAGGCCTCTGACATCACTGTCCTCCGGGAGAGTTTGAGAATGAGGGGGAGTGGCCTCGCTTCTTTCCTCCTCGTTTCGGTTCACCAGCTCGACACGGGACGTAGTGAGGAGGAGAGGGAATAAGAATCGTGACGTCCCTTGCCTTGTCGGCCTCGTCGGCCGGGTTCAGTCGGGTGCTTCTTTTCTAAAAATATGGCGATCCGTTAGAGATATCGCTGTATGAGTGATGTTTTTGGGTTTTGCATCGTCCCGCCTATCTGTCTAGCCTTGTTTTGTGAGTTCGAAATTTCGGTTCAGTATCCCTTTAAGCTCTTAGGTATTACTTTCTCTGAAAATATGTCGTGGGAAAATCATATAAACTACCTTATTCCAAAGCTATATCGGGCTGTGGGCATGTTAAATCGTCATCGTTATATTTTGTCAGAAAAAGTAAAATTATTATTATATAATTCTCTATTCCACTCCCACTTAAATTCTAAATTCTGCACAAAAAATGGGTGTCATATTCCCTGCATCGAAGGCATACACTCAATACAAAAAAAAAAAAAATAGGCAGGGAATATGACACCCATTTTTTGTGGGTTTTAAAAAACTGCAAATACTTTGATTGAAAAAAAAAAAAGTAGCACAGCCACGTGACTTTCGAAAACGTTCTTCTCCTCTATACTTTTCATTTTGGGTTTCATTTCGGAGCAGTGGCGTTCTTTTTTTAGTTTTTTGTTTAGTTTAATAAACACATTAGTGACGCAGTTGCAAAATATTGATATGGCAGTCTTCTGGCACCATGTTAAATCGCCTGGCAAAAGATAAAAAAAGAAAATGGGGGGGGGGGGGGGGTGTCAATGTGTCTTTAAAAGCTATCTACGGTTCATGATTGGTGGTTCCGTCCCCTCCTCTCCTTTCTAACGTTCCCTCAGCTTAATTAAGTAAAAAGTGCTGAGGGCTTCGTCGGAGGAGCTTATTCTGCTATTTCTCGTCAATATTCGACAACAAATGTCGCGAGACGCATAACCCTGGCGGAGTATCGCGATACATTCAGTACATCGTAAGTTTATTTCCCTACTGAAGTACAAATACATTTTCCAAATGTATCTCAATACAGAGATACAGATATATTCAAAATTAGATCTAAGATACTATTGCGATACATTTGTGTCGCGATACTGCCCAGCCCTGTGAAAGCGTACGTGCATTTGATTTAATTAGGGTGCCTTCATGTGCGCTTTGCATTAAGGCACCCTCATTCGCTGGCGCCCGCGCAAGTAGTTTTTACAGCTATAGAGCGCCACAAAAGCTACGATAGCCATGACAACGTAGCTCCGTTAAAAGAACTCTAATTCTTCACAACTCCTATTTTTGTGCGTGTGTGTGTTCGTGCGTGCATGTTTGTGTGCGTGCGTGCATGTTTGTGTGCGTGCGTGTGTTTCTTGGGAATCGGACAAAAGTCCACCAATTTTTCGGCGGACAACTCACCCGGCGTAAAATGGGATGGGCTAAGCTTTTGGTGGGACGGGGATACGTCAACAGTTGTTCAAGGACTCTATTATTCCAACCGGTAGCTAATCTGTTCTTGCTGATATAAAACGAGCATAAGATCTAAAAAAAAAAAAAAAGTTATATGCAGAGACAACATCCAAGCACATGTGAGTACGCAACAGCCATTTTGTATGAACGCATATTTTTATTGGACCGGGGACTGCACTTTCTAGCAGAGTATGTTTAGTCATAATAATTTGTTCACGATGCGAGTATCATAGGTCTGGATATTTCTGTTCGAAAATTTGTTGTATTAACGATCCCTCTTTTGATTCTTCCTTCTACATATGTAGTGATTTTAAACCCTGCGCAAGACATACATACGTTTTCATTGATTGAGCTATTGTTTGGGCAAATCTCCTCATATTCGTGATCATATAAAATAGAAATAATTATATCCAAGTGAGTGTCTGCGGGCTCGCGAGTAAAAGCGGCGAGCATCTGTCCAAGTCTGTAAAAAACTCGGTGATTTTCTGTTTGGCGAGCTTCTGTCCGGTAAGCTTCTGTCAATGTTACTAGAACAGTCAGTTGGGAAACTCGCCGTCGAAACGTGGGCCGCTGGCGTCCACCGAGACCGAGCTAAATGCGACAACAGCGACACACTTTATCATTTGTCTGTACTGTGGTCACCTTGAGCTTTTACATAGCTTATTTTTGCGTAAAAACAAAGGGAAAAGACTCTTTTTGTATGAAATTTATTGGAGTTTAGTACAAAATTATGGGCGCGTTATGTTTTTAAAATCTTTAGTTTGCAGGGTTTTGCGGGACAATTAATGTTGTTTTTATACAGCCATGCCTCAGCGGTCCTTTCAGGTAGCGCGTCCCGACCTAGGTGCATTTTAACTTCGGTAGTAAGACACGGCGCGTCCGCTGGGGAGACGGGGATGGCACCCCTGTAACCTCTTCCGCTGCATCCGTTTCGGCTCCAAAATGGCCGATTAGAGCCAAAATAGAAGTAACGTACAGTTCCTCGAGTGACCGCTGCGGGAGGAATGGCGGCGTTGTGTTCGTCATTAGCTCGGTTCTCGGGGACAGATCGGGGCCACTCTTTCAGAAAAGTCTCTATGGCAGTTTCCCAACTGAGTGTTTTAGTAACGTTGGCTTCTGTCAAGGATCCGTTTTGTTTAGTTTTGATAATTCTTCAAGCGTTGCCTTTTGAAGCATTAGGTCTGTTCAATTCGCCTGAACAGGCTGAACTAGTTCTGCAGTGCAGGAACTGTTGCATTCGATTGAACCGGAAGTTGCACGGCCGCTGCACTGGCGCGTTCGATTCATCCCAGTTCTGAACGAGTTCAGACCCAGTTCCTCAAAATCTTGCACCTGCTCCGGAGTCAGTTCAGCTTCCGCGCAGAAGCAGACGAAAAGAGCAGACGGCGATAGTAAACGATCAGCGACTGGTCGTCTGCTATCGCCTCCTCGTCCGTCTCTGCTCGCGGTGCCGTTTTTCGCAGCTCTTGCTCAAATGTCTGCGATGTTTAACAATAGACAGTTTTAGTGGACCGTACGGTATAGCTTTGCGTATTACACATTAAGCCTATTCGCACAGTTCATCGCCGACGGACGAACAACCCTAAAAGAAATCGCCTAAGTTCTCGCTATGCACTGGGCATCAGTAGGTCATGAATATCATTCCGCGATAGCATTGATAAAAGGCGCCGTTTCCACGGGACGACTGACGGAGGCTCCGTGATCGAATTTGGCTACGCACTCGTACTCGTAACCTCTGTACCCCGCAGAAAAGCGCGCTTGACGACGCAGCTGTTGCTTGGTTTAATTTGAAATAAAATGATTGGACACATTTTCATTTTCAATATTTCTTTCCGGGAGCATGGTTGCGCTATAAGCACGCGGAATTCTACGGCTCTATCAAATTTAACCAAAATCATGCGCGGTGTTTACTCGAATACGTAACGCACAACTAAATTCGGTCCGGGCAGGTCATTTTTAGCGTACGCTATACTACTGCGTATTGCGTACGTAAGGGCCAGCAACGCTATACTAAAACTGTCTAATAACGCCGATACGGAGGTTGCATTTCCTCTCACTTATGATAATAACGTACCCGCGGTGGACGAGAAATTGAGATCCTATCCGAGGGTACGAATTTAATTGATTATGATATTCTGAAAGCGTTTTAGGCACCTGCTCGCATAAGTTTGACTCCCTGTGGTAAGTGTTGAAATATTGGCTCACGTAAATTGTTTCTTTTTGACGCTTATATGGGGATCCTGATATCCTTCCTTACAGACGCGAGAAAGGTATTGCACTCTTGATTGTCCCCGCCTTCAGTTGCTCTTGGGTGCGGACTGACGACTCCGGTACATTGCAGTGGTCTGGGATTTAGTACATTGGCCCTCGCATGGCCCGTAGCTGAGCATAATACTGCATGCTTTGTCGGCTTGTATCTGTGGACGACCACTATACGGGCCTGGGAAAAACGCCGAGAATCGGCATTGGCTTGGTAGTCCCACGTAGGACTTTCTTGAGAATCATAATAAAGGCTTCAGCTTGACGCCAAAGTTACGGTCGATAACTGCCTTGACCAAAACGCTATCATCAGGCCTTCGTCTTCGAGGTGACCGTTATACCGACCGCGCGCTGCCGCCAGTGACTCCCGACGCAAAATCATCCTGATGCCGCGAACCTATCGTCGAAATGCGAAACTCGAGAGACTTGGAATGAATCTACCATTGCTAAATGAATGTCAAGGACATGAACACTTATGGGCACGACAGGAACCGAATGATCGTTAAAAATGCAGAGAGAAACACATTTCGTTCAGAAAACGTTTTTAGTACACTCGAATAAAAAAATATTCACACAAAATATTCCGTTATTATACTTTAAAACTAAGGAAACACGAATTGTCTCATCAACCCGCGAACAAATAAATATAGCATACAACTTGGCGTTTAGAAACAAGAGCCAACAGATGCAGACGACACTCTGCGCTTCCGCTCGGAAAGCCTTTCACAGCGCGAGTCCTAGCGCGGCGGCTGCACTGGTTCCGCGCCGCCGCCTGCACGACTCCTGCACTCCTCTGAACTCGGACAGAACTGGTTCAGAACTTCTTAGAATGGATGCTTGGGCGAGTTGGATATTCATTGTAGGAGAAGCGCTAAAGTAGACTCACTCACCCTCACACTCACACTCACACTCACACCAGAAAAACGGTCACTCACGTCGCGCAGCGCGACGTGAGTGACCGTTTTTCTGGTGTGAGTGTGAGTGTAAGGGTGAGTGAGTCTACTTTAGCGCTTCTCCCACAATGGTTCAGAACTTTCTGGCCGAACCGAACAGACCTATTGTCTGCACCCCAAACAATGCTAGTTCTCGAGTCAGCATTGTCGTGCGTTAAACGAGGATTAAGAAGTCAAAATGGATACAGATATACTCCGATGTATTGTCTAGACGGGGACCATGGAGTAAAATTCGCAGTTTCACCCGCGACGAATTGTTATCTCATTTCATGGACCAAGATGGCGACCACACGCGGAGCTTGGCGTTACTTTCCCAGGATCCAGTGACTTTAGTCCATGCTAAGGCGAGACGAAGTATAATCCGACGCCCCGAAAAGAACGAAGTCGCAGCGCCGAATTTGGGCATCGATTTCACATCGTCAACGCTTACTGCCACTGGTGAATCTAACACGAAAAATTATGGGCCATTCCACTTTGTGAAGGGGTATGAGTAGCGAAGCTGTTTAGCACACGACAGATACGTGACACAGAACTTTGAGCAAAGGTACGAACAGATTTGTCTTGATCGGTCTTCATCGTGACGATCCAGGTACGCACACACATGTCGAGGACTATCGCCGCTCCGAGGAGCCGGTGGAAACTAGACACGCGCGACGGGACCGCCACCCGGCGGAAGGAAAGGAAACTAGCCACGAAAGCGCTTGGAGCGACGACCATGAGAGGGCGGTGCGCTTCCCTCCTCTTCTCCTGCCGCTAAATTTTCTCATGGGTGACGTGACACAAAGTCGTGACGTCATTTACCCCGCTAAAAAAATTTAGCGGGGAAGCTGAATTGGTGTCGAGGTCACTTGACTTCATAAATTTCACGCCAAATTTAGCGGGTAAATTTTCTTACTAACTTTGGGAGGGAAAATGGAGTTTTTGTTGACGCACACGAAAAATCCACGAAACCCTAGCCATAAACTTCACTGTTAAAAAAAATATGAAGAAATTATTGAGTCAGTCAAGGCGGAATGGGTAATCAAACACTCTTTCCTCCAGTGCCATGAGGTAAAAGCACCAAAACGGCATCGTTATGGTGCTCGTAGTTTTTGTGTTACTACAAGGACGCTGGTTTCCTATCACCGGCTGCACAACTCATGCACTCACGGGACATTTACTGCCGGTGAATGGTTCAGCCAGGGATATCAAACGCACAGAGACGACGTGCGCCGTGACGATGCACATATTGGTGCTGTCTGATTGGCTCCGTCGGGTCGCATAGACCAACTCAATTGACTCACCGACGTCATGCCACTGCGGTGGCGCTGCTGTCGGTACTGCGCATGCGCAAGCGCTTCAATTTCCCCGAGTTTGGTTTCCGCGCACGCGAAGTGCACCCACACCTGGTGTGGGCAAAGCGGGCTTTGTTCGGAAACATTGTGTTGGTGTATACTATAGGGAGTGTTAAATAACTTCCACTTTTCGTTTTGTGTTTCTTTTTTAAGAGCGCAGCTCTTAGGCGTCCGTTTCCGGCTTGAGCGGCGTCGCGGTCGGCATAACCGCGCGGTGCATTATGGGAAATCTCCCATAATGCACCGCGCGGGGAGGAGGACGAGGGGGAAGAGAGGAGGAGGGGGAGGAGGACGACGACGAGGGGGAGGGGGTGGAGAAGGGGAGGAGAGGAAGGAGGAAGAGGGTAGGAGGGATGACGAGGAGGAGAGGAGGGAGGAAAGGAGGGAGGAGGAGTATCAGGGAGAATGAGGAGGTGAGGTGGAGGGAGGAGGGTTATACCCTTCCCTCAGTACCCTTCCCTCCTCCTCAAGAGCTGCGCTCTAATTCGGCTTTACAGGGTGTCGGAAACGTCTTTTATTTATTTTTTTTTTATTCTTCTTCGAATTGTTGGCCAACTGGTAGTGTCACAGACCTTGCCACGGATGTGTGGACTCTTGAGGAGGACCTCCCTGACGGCGACGGCGGCTGCCACCGAGCTCTCGGCGATCAGGTTGTGTCCGCAGGCATGTCCGATCTCCGGGAGAGCGTCGTACTCGCACAAGAAGGCCACCGTCGGACCTGCCCGCGCACATCTCGCTCTCAACTCGGGCGGTATTATACCATCAACTCCTCCCACGTGACAAGGCCATATAGGCCGGGCATTCGACGTCCCATGCAGGAGGCCAAACGTGGGTCAGGGCACTTACTTCTCCTTCATACCCTCCTCTCCCCCCTCCTCCAATTCAGTTTCCCCAAACAATTTAGCGGGGAAAATGACGTCACATGACTTGGTGTCACGTCACCGTAAACAAATTCAGTTTCTCCGCTCGATTTAGCGGGAAAATTGACGTCACGTGGCCACAACACCAATTCAATTCCCCGCTAAATCTAGCGGGGAATGGAACTGGTGTTGAGGTCACGTGATGTCAATTTTCCCACTAAATTCAGCGCGGTTACGCCGACGTCGACGGCGACTCCGATGCCGCTTAACCCGAAAACGGGTGCCTAAAGGCCCGTTCACACATGCAGCGGAGCGCTACAAGCATAGCGCTTACCTCGCGCTAAGCGCGTGCTGACGGGAGCGTTCACCAGCTTTGTATCGCACCGTCAAAACTGTTGCTCATGGCAGACGATAAGTAGCTGACGGCACGTGAGGAGCGCTACATCAGCGCTTCGCTGCATGTGAGAACCGGCCTTAAGAGGTACGCACTATGAATGAAGTACGTTTACAACTCTCTGTAATGAGAAACTAGAACGCATCTCTTGAGGAGGGCGAGGGGAAGGTACAGAGCGGAGGGTATGTCCCTCCTTCTACGCTCCTCCTCCTCCTTTCCTCTTTCCCTCCTCCTCGTCCTCTTCCCTCCTTCTCCTTTCCTCCTCCTGCCGTTAAATTTCCCGCTAAATGTAGCAGGTTACGTTTCCCCGCTAAATCTAGCAGAGAAACTGAATTTGTTCTTGCGTGAGGTGACACGAAGTCATGTGACGTCATTTTCCCCGCTAAATTTAACGGGGAAACTGAATTAGTGTTGAGGTCACGTGGCGTCAATTTTCCAGCTAAATTTAGCGGGGAAACTGTGAGAGGAGGAAGAGGGGGAGGAGGAGAAAATGGGTAGGAGGCGGGGAGGAGAAACAGGAGGAAAGAGGGGTAGAGAATAAGGGGAGGAGGACGTTAGGGCGCGGAGGAGGAGAAGGGGCATACCCTCCTCTTTGCACCCTCCCCTCCTCCTACTCGAGAGCTGCGCTCTAATTTCACATTACAGAGATTTGTAAACGTTGTTCATTTTTTTTTTCACATAAAAACTAGCGAGCGCAAGAAAAAATGGTGTTCTGTTCTTCGTTTTATGCAAAGGACAGTAGAGCTACTAAATAAACTTTATGCTTCAGAGTACCGACACTTAAGCCGTCTTGGTGCTTAAAATCATGGTTGACAGTTATCTGAAGCTTTATCTAAAATCGCAGAAAACTTTTTTTTTGTCCTTCACAAGTGTTAGAACAGTTCGCGGCACAGCAAAACGATATCACCTAAGCTTCCTACCACCGTGTCCTAAGCTGAGGAAGTCGTATTTTTGAATTGTGATGATCGACAGTTGCGTCTGCTCTACTCTACACCAATATGGCGGCGTCTACCAGCAGGTCTGGGAACAGAGTTCCGATATTCTAAGCGTAGCTAATTTAGCAGCTCTAGGTGACACAGATTAATTCGCGCGGTTAATTGGCCAAAGCTCGACTAAGCAGCCTCGCTGACAGCCCCTTCGTAATGACGTGGGAGGTGTATCGACATCTCTTATCTTTCTCATATAGATGAGTGAATTGATGGACGCTAGTGGCTGTATCCGTTATATTGGGCGGTAGCTTGCGCCACTTAACCTTGAGCATCTAGTCGTACCTTGAGCGCCTTCGGTGTTGTCGAACTCTGCGCGGAAAGCGGTGTCCAGAAGCCAGTGCCGCTGCACCCTGAAGCCCTGGGCTTCGAGGAACTCCGTGAGCCTCTCGTGTGCCTTGAATTCTCTCAGAGCCAGCTCGGGGTTCTGCCAGAGGTAGTCACTCAGGGCGTGCAGTTCAGACTTTCTGCTCTCCACGGCCGCCTCGACAAGGGACTCCACGAAACCGGACGCCATGTCGCGAGACCTTTTCTTCCTGTTCGACGCAAAATTTCTTTGTGCTACTCTTCCTCTATGTCCCTAGCTGTAACTGACTGATTCGTGAGGACACGAGAGACAGCCGCCGATTATTTATCTCTCTGAAACTCCTTAGAGTCGCCTCGCGTTATCCGTGAACTCGTGTTGCCCTCCACCCATTTGTTTTTGCCTTGGAGATAAACGTCTGTTGTCTCGAATGTCATCCATAAACTTCTATCTTACCGCTCTATTCGTTGTTTGTCCATTCTCCTCTATCCGTATCCACAGCATTCATATCTGTGGCTAGCGGCGCGTTGTGGGTAAATTACTTTTCGTGTTTCAAAGATAAACTATAAAAAAATCTGGAGCGCCTACTTTTCCACGCAGCAATTAAGAGAACCAATCGCTACAATATAAGAAAGAAACTCGGCGAACGGCAGAGATTAATATTTTATAAAAAAAAATTGCTCATGTGCTGTTTTTTTTTTTTTTTTTTACTGTGCTCAGTGTTATTGAAGTGCACGTTGAAACGTCATGCTCATTACCACAAAGAAGACGGCGTTTTCTTTTCTTCTTTTAGGTCCAACTTGAAGAGAAAAGCTTTCGCTGACGTCTCATGTTATAAAACAGGGTTCTTCTAAACTTTTAGGCTCATGGGCCGGATTTTCGATCTGTCGCACTTTCGAAGGTGGAGAAATAAATAGAGGGGTTTATACAAAAATTCAAGATAAAATTTAAAACAATTGAAGTGGTTTAATAAAAGCATTTTATTCTCAAAATTCACTATTTAGTTAATTCATTCATTTCATTCATTTATTTACTCTCAAGGCCGAAGCATTACAGAGAGGAGTGAAGAAGCAAAAAAAAATACAACATGAACATAAACACAGCCGGGGGATTACAAAAAATGGTTGCAAACGGCACTTTTGAAACGGTCGGTGTCAGTGATTGAAGCGATGGAGGCGGGGAGGTGGATCCAGTCTGTGCAGGTTTTGGGAATGAACGAGTGGAAGTGCAAATTGGTGCGGCTGCTTGGGACGCCAGCCTTGAACTGATGGTCGCTGCGGGAAGAGATGTACGATGGTGGCAGAAAGAGAGAGTCACTGAGGAGAGAATTGAAATGATAAACCTTGAGTAACGCTATATGCACTCCGGAGTGCAGCTCGGCCGGAAATTGCTATATGCGCTACGTTTGTCTCGTATAAAATGAATGATCACAACGAGTTTTCCAACCGGTGGCATAGCGTAAGGGATAGCGTGTCCGGTTCGTACGCAAGTGGACGCAGATTCGAATTGCGGTGACCCTACCTTTTTTTCTATTTTTATTTTTTTCTTGAACGTTGTTTTGACGAGGCATTTGGCGATATTTATATTTCTTTTTTTGCGATGAACACTAAAAAAAATGAAAGCCGTTTACAACTCCCTGTAACGCCGAATTAGAGCGCAGCTCTTGAGGAGGAGGAGGGATGGGTACGGGGGGGGGGTGGGTCAAGTGACCACGGGGGGGCGGGGGGTCACGTGACCTTGTAGGAGTCACGTGACCTTGGTTCGTCACGTGACGTCGGGGGGTCACGTGACCTGGGGCCACGTGACGATGCCGATGACGTCATCAGTGACGTCACTGATGACGCCATCAGTGATGATGATGATGACGATGCGGATGCCGGTGACGTCGTCAGTGATGATGACGATGACGATGCGGATGCCGGTGACGTCATCAGTGACGTCACTGATAACGTCATCAGTGGCTATGACGTCAACGGGGGGTCACGTGACCTGGGTAACCATCGTGACCCTCGTGAGGGCAACTCTCGTGACCCTCGTGAGGGTAACTCTCGTGACCCTCGTGAGGGTAACTCTCATAACCCTCGTGACCCTCGTGAGGGTAACCCTCGTGAGGGTAACCCTTTTGAGGGTAACTAACCCTCGTAACCCTCGTGAGGGTTACGAGGGTAAGTAACCCTCGTGAGGGTAACCCTCGTGAAGGTAACCCTTTTGAGGGTAACTAACCCTCGTAACCCTCACGAGGGTTACGAGGGTTAGTAACCCTCGTGAGGGTAACCCTCGTGAAGGTAATCCTTTTGAGGGTAACTAACCCTCGTAACCCTCGTGAGGGTTACGAGGGTAAGTAACCCTCGTGGCCCTCGTGAGGGTAACCCTCATGAGATTAACCCTCGTAACCCTCGTAACCCTCACGAGGGTTACGAGGGTTGTGGTTACGCCGACGCCGACGGCGACGCCGACGCCGACGCCGACGCCGACGCCGACGCCGACGCCGCTCAAGCCGGGAACGGGCCCCTAAGAGCTGCGCTCTAAAAAACACCGAATGTTGTCGACGAAACTTCGCAGACTTCGCAGATCGGGGACAGCGGGGCTTGGGTTGCCGGCTGGACGCCGCGAAGCGGCGTGTACTGGTTAACTTTTCTAATTAGCAGCCGCATACTGTCGCCGCGAAGCGGCGTGAACGCAGGCGGGGGGCTGGGTTAACGAGCTCCCCAGTGATACACGCCCAGTTCGAAAAAGGGTGGCCCGAGCGGCATGAGCTCTCAGCGTAGTGCATATAGCAATTTCCGTCCAAAGTGCACTACGTAGTGCATATAGCAACGCTCATAAACCTTATGAAAGAGACAAAGACGAGATAGTTTACGACGCAATGAAAGATCGGGTAAGCTAAGATTAGATTTCATAGAAGTGACACTGGCAGTTCGAAAGTAAGTTGAGAAGATGAAACGCGCGAAACGGTTTTGAATGGCTTCTATTTGAAGAATAATGAAGTTAATATGAGAGTCCCAGATTGATGATGCATATTCAAGCTTTGACCTCACTAAAGTTTTATAAAATATGAGTTTCAAGTTAGTTGGGGCTAAAGAAAAATTACGCCGTAGATAACCGAGTGCGCGATTAGCATTACTAGTGATGTAGTCGACGTGATCTTGCCATGAAAGGTTAGCAGAAATGATAATGCCAAGATATTTGTAGGACGAAACTTGCGTTAGGCGAACACCGTTAAGTAAGTAGTCACACGGTAGGATGTGATTTGAATGGCGTGCAATTCTCATTGACTTACATTTGGCAGGGTTAGGTTTCATTAGCCAGGTGTCACACCAAAATGAAATGTTATCGAAGTCAGACTGAAGAGCAGGATGATCTGCAGGTTCCGGAATTTTGCGATAAACAACACAGTCGTGAGCAAAAAAGTTTTATAGATGAAGAAATGCAGCTAGGTAAGTCCTTAATATAAATAAGAAAAAGCAAGGGCCCTAGCACTGACCCCGCGGAACACCGGACGTTACAGGACAGTGAGGGGAGTTATGGTCATTGGCGGTTACATGTTGCGTGCGTTTCGACGAGAAGCATTCTATCCATTTAAAAATATTAGGGTTCATGTTAAGTTTACTTAATTTATAGAGGAGCAGACTATTACAGACACTATCGAATGCTTTAGAAAAGTCGATGAAAATGCAGTCAACAGTGATTAAGTGATCTGCAGCAGGGAATAAGTCGTTAGTAAAGGCGAGTAGTTGAGTTTCACATGAGTAATTTTTTCTGAAGCCGTGTTGATGCATACTAAAAAAAGAATTAGTTTCGAGGAAGGATACCATATGACAGTATATGACATGTTCCATGAGTTTGCACGGTATACTGGTTAATGAAATGGGTCTATAACTATTGGGACAATGAGTGTTACCTGATTTGTGCAGAGGAACCACCTTGCCCACCTTCCAGTCGTTCGGGAGCGTAAAGGATTCTAATGATTGTGCAAAAATCTTCGACAATATTATAGAGGAATACACTTCGGTGTTCTTCAAAAATTTAGGGTTAATGCCATCATCACTTGGAGAAGAGGAAAGCTTCATATTTTGAATTAATTTTATTACGCCTGCCTAGTCAATAACTATTGGATCCATCGGAATAAAATAATAAACCGGAACATCGGGAAACATACATGGCGTGCTGTTAACAAACGACGATGAGACATTATGACATTATAAAATCCTTGCGAACCAGAAGAACACACCGGGCATAAATAAAAGTGCAGATGAAGTTTAGGTTATGTGGAGAGTAAGTCGTCCGTTTCTTGTGCAGGAGTTGCGGTGACTTTAGAAAGATGCCGAGCTCTGATTGGCTTTGATTAAAGGATAATGGGTAGACCTCAAAGCAAGCTGCCTCGAGGTCTAGCCACTATCCTTCATTCCGAACCTATCAGTGCTCGGCGTTCTGACGTCATCACAGCCCCTGCAAAAAAAGCAGACGAACTCGAGCACCGCATTCACACAGGACAGAACACTAATGAGAGTTGTAGAACTAGTGATATGACACTATGCAAAAGTTCTGACGCAGGACACTATAAGCCAGGGATCGAGCAGGAACATGAAACTTCACTCAGCCTAAAAGATCAGCCTCGATGTGACGGTTAATTACTTTATGTAAAAATAATATATTACGAGAGAGTCTTCGCTTCAATAAATTCTGTAAACCTAGCCTCTTAAGAATGTCGTCGCAGTCATAATGGAGCCTTCTACCAAAATACTTATCATAGACAAGACGCATAAAATGTTTCTGCACATTCTCTAACCGTGACGCATCCGTGGCAGTCAGCGAATTTCATGCGACACTACCAAACTCAAGTTTTGCACATACCAGACATAAGAACAGTCGGATAAGGCATAAATGATTCTTAAATTCGCATAATTGGTTGGAAAACGTTTATTGTAAGAAAAAAGAAAACTCTTGCGACTGAAGTCTTTAGACTTTAAAAAATGTGAGGGGGGGGGGGAGGGGGGGGGGGGGTCGCGCAGGTACGGGAGCTTGCTACGCGGTGCCTAGATGAATCTTTTTATTCATGTAGAGGCGATGAAGTCTAGGAGACTCTTAAGCAGCTCCTTATTGCGTTCTGCATCTTCTAACGCTTGTAATGGTTGGGTCCATTCTTCATAACTTATTACCCTTGCTGAGGTCTTATGCTTCATCCTCTTTTCTTTCCAGCACTCGCATTCCCA